GTGGTACATTACCAATAGTAATGGGTATGCTAATGACTGGGTTAATGGCACCTGAGATTGAGCCAGTAATGGTCAGATAATAAGTTACTTGAAGTATGTTGCAGTTGAGGAGTTTGGTTGGGGTATTAGGGACAGCAATAGGAGGTGGACGCCATACTGTGGAGCTATGAGCTGCCACTGGTTCACTAGCAACGCTGGCTACTGTTACATTATCATAACGATGGTGGCCCTGTGCTGTGTAGTGAACATGCTTGCGGATTGAAGCAACAATTTGGCGTACATCTCTGCGGCTCCCATTTTCAACAGATACTTCAACTGGTATGGCGTCTTTAAGTATGCAAAAGCCAGTACGTGGCACAGTAGCTGTGATATTAATAGGACCAGAAGCACAGCATAGACAGCAAAGGGTTTTACTGATCTCCATTGCTTTTGGGGTATGAAGTTGAGGATTATTGATAGGGATGACGCTACCAACATTGATGTATGCTTCGCAACGAGTGTCACGCTTGAAGATACCATCTTTCATAACCCTGGCCTCTATCTTGTAGTCTATACGACCACATGTACCAGTGTACGAGGCTGGCAAGTTACCACTTCCCAGTTGAAGGGAGAATGGAAATTGGAAATTACCAACAGGGAATTGACCCCCTCCTGCTGTGTTCCTGTCCCAAACATGAACGAAGGTGTCAATGTAAACCTCATGGGCTCTATAGTGGACAGTGTGACGGTGCTCCCCTGATCCTCTCTCTTCTGACCAATGGACGTCGGCTGCTCCAACTATTCTGACTTGAATTGCTTTGTAGTCTTTGGGCTGGTCGTCATTGACAGCTATGACAGTACCGGTTACAGTGCCACCGGTAAAATAAACGCCATTTGGAGGATTGTTCAACTCCAGACGAAAATCCTTCATAATTCAGCTTCAGTGTAAACTGTAGTAGCTTATGAGTGGGGCTTAAATAAGAAGCAAATCCGCTCAAGCAAATCAAGCAATGCAATTTGATCTATAGCTCCACCTACCAGTAGCTCCACCTACCAGTAGCCCCACCTAGTAACAAAACATGTAGAATTATTCATGAAAAATAATTATATTTTTAAAACTGATTGGAGGAGAGAAAAAAGAACAAAACAGAATTAAAATTGATGATAATTTACATGAAAAAATGATTAATGAACTGATGAGTGGATTAAATGCTATGATACATAAAAATAATAAATCCAGGGCTGTGTAGCCACCGTGCAAAAAGAGATCATTGTAAAAGTGTATTTGTGTGTGAGTGAGTATGCTATGGTTGCTGATTGATGCCTCCTTAAGCCAGTAAAGGTGTTTTCTCAGTTGAAGCATTCAAACTAACACCTTCCTTACAGATAGGGCAGGATGGGGACTGAGATAGCCAGTCACAAAGGCATCTATAGAAAGCAAGATTAAAATGAAAGTAGAGTACAGGTGAACTTTCAACCACAACAAAGTACTTGAGTAGCCACACTATTGCAAGTCAAAAAGGAAACCTTATGCTCACAACCATTGCAGTGGCATTTTATAGTAAATAGCACTAGTAACTTACTTCTTATGATAAGCATGTCTACAAGGACATAGTACTATTATCTCTCTATCAAGGAAGTCTTCTAAGCACACAGCACAAGACTACAGTTGTGGCATCATAAACTATACACCATTTAATGCTTCACTTACATCACAAAGGTTAGACTGTCTGGCACCTTCACTAATTGAATATTTTACCTATTAATTTATACAAAGGAAGTTATAATTGCCGTAGGCATGTCTGATTTTACATATTTATAAATAAAATAATTGTGAAATTTACAATGTGATGTAGGTTGGTAAAAATTGCTAATCTTTGATCATCAACGTAATTGTAATGAGTACAATAAGATTCAATTCACCCAATACAATCATTCTGTGTTAACAAAAAATAATTTGTTCTCACTTTGTTACAGTTCTTTAATAAACTTTCCTTCTCTTGTTTTAATCTTCTACGCTCTCTCCACTCTGGGCTGAAATTAAATAGATTGGTTAACAAAAAAACCACTCTGTATAAACAGGAGGGTTACTAGTAATAACAACATGTAACAATGTGTGGCATAGATCTATAGATGTTCAGATCCAAGCGTACCATTTTGCACAACACATGAGGCATAGACACATCAGACAAGCTGCCGCCAAGAGAGTCCCAGTGGCTAGCACATAAGCCAGAATAGGACTCTCACTGTCTCTGTCTGCCATTTACAAGGAAGGAAATGCCCAGCAATGCAATGGCAGCATGAAAAAATAATACTAGCCCCGCCCTTATTAATAATTATAATAATAAGTTCACTTTGCGCATGCGCATTAGTTTCCCGCCTAAAATCTGGATTTGATTAAGGTTTAAAGCTGATACAAAAATTGACAATACTTTAGATCTAATTCTGCCTTCTGTTTTGGATGACTGTAAATTGGGCTTTATACATTGTAAGTCATTATATATATTTTTTATGTTGTTGTACTTGCAAAACTTGCGCTATAAACACGGCTTGAAAATGAAGCACGTTAATTAGAAATAAAAAAATTACACATCATAAATAAAGGAATGTGGCTAAAGAACAAATACAAAGCTCTAAGAAACAAAATAAAAAGGAGACAACAAGACTAGTAATCATTATTGAGTCATTCATAAAAAGACAAACAGAAAATTGAAACAAAACAATTTATTACCGAGGCCTCAGTGAGGACACTCGTATTTTAGAAATGTCTGTCCACCTGATTTTAATACAACTGGCTCCTTTTCTTTATAGTGAGTAACCAGCTCTATTACATCTTTAAATGGCTAAAATAATAATAATAATTGTGTTATCAAAAATGCAAAAAAATAAGTTAAATATTTAGCAATGTGCATGTAGATTCATACAACTCAAAATTAATTTGAAGGTAAAAATAATTACATATACACTCACTTGTTCGTCTACTTTCTCTTCGCCTAAAACAAATTGCTTATCTGCTCTTTTTCTTATTCTATTATAAATTAATCATTATCTTTACTCTTGACGTTATGAAGATAATACCTTAAATGTCTGACTCCCCCATCATGCCACAGCGAGAGTGAGTACTCACCAGGGTTCCTAGTGTTATCACGAACAATAAACGTCCCATCCTATAAATAATAAGTATGGTATTATTATTCCATATGTTACTCTAAATTGTGTTTAGTGTTAAGGGAGCTATGTATACATGTACACCATGCATGTAAGAGTGAGAGCTTGCTTTTGAATATCTTCTTATTTTAGCTTCAGCGTTTTTGCGATCCAGTGTAGAGTGATACCAGCTCTGAGATGATAGCCCAGCGGCTTTCTTTGGTAATGGAGGCTCTTCTGCTATAGGAGACCTTAATGGAGGCCTAAGAGGGAAATGCATTTAACAATATGGCTAGATTTAGCTTAAAGAATAAAAGAAAGACGTTCCTGTGTTAGAACTAACTTGAAAGCAGGTTGCTGTACTTCTTCTTGGGACTAAAATTAAAAATACATAAAATATGCTTCATCATTGTAGTCTCTTACTTGTGGGGGATCAAGACGAGGTCTTCCAGGAAGGGGAGGAGCTGCACTTTCTTGTTGAAGGGGTGGCCTTAAGGGAGGAGTATTGTTTAGTTGTGGTCGTGGTCTACCAGGAAGTAGTGGCACATCATCTTGCGGTCTTCCAGGAAGAGGAGGAGCATTGTTCTGTTGTGGAAGTGGTCTTCCAGGAAGAGGCGGGGCACCATTTTGTTGTGGGAGTGGTCTTCCAGGAAGAGGTGGGGCATTGTTTTGTTGTGGTAGTGGTCTTCCAGGAAGAGGCGGGGCACTGTTCTGTTGTGGTCCATCAGGTAATGATGGACGTGGTCTATTAGGAAGAGCTGGAGCATCATTACCTATTAAATAGCAATAATTGTTTAGATCTATTCATTGCTTAGATCAAATTTTACCAAAAATTAAAAGTAGAGGATTCTTCATTTTTTATAATTTTTCCTTATACATATACATGTTCTTATGTTGTGTAAAAAGTTTGAACTGATTCCAATCAAAATTGGATTTTTTTATGAATTTTTTAAAGTTCCTCAAAAATCGGGCCAAAGTCCCTGTACTATAGTAGAGGGATTTTAGCCAAATTTTACCAAAAATTAAAAGTAGAGAATTCTTCATTCTTATAATTTTTGTTGATACATATACATGTTCTTATGTTGTGTAAAAAGTTTGAACTGATTCTGATCAAAATTGGATTTTTTATGAATTTTTTAAAGTTCCTCAAAAATTGGGCCAAAGTCCCTGTACTATAGTACAGGGATTTTAGCCAAATTTCGCCAAAAATTAAAAGTAGAGAATTCTTCATTTTAATAATTTTTTTGATATATATACATGATGTAGAAAGTTTGAACTGATTCCGATCAAAATTTGATTTTTTATGATATTTTTAAGTTGCTCAAAATCAGGCCAAAGTCCCTTGTACTGTATAATGCAACAAGCAACAAAAACAGAATCAATTCTTTCTATGTAAAGTATTTGATCACTATTTACCTTGAGGGAAACGACCAGGCAATGGAGGTTGCTCCCCTCCTCCTCCTCTTCTGAAAGGATCTTTAGGTCCTTCATGAGCTGTTGTTCCTGGGGATGGAGGAGCCTTATTGAATGGAGAAGAGGTTGGTGGAGGCGCTGGCTGTTTGCCGGGTAATTTTGGAGGTGGGGGAGCTTCATTCTCGGCTTCCATTTGTTTTCTTTTAAATACATTCATAGCCGCATTTCCTGAAGAGTCCCCTCCCACTTTTGGTGGTAGAATCGATGGTTTATGACTCGGAGAAGGTTCTTCTTCACTCTCGGAGGAATAACGCTGAGTCAGCTCTTTTACAGACTGTTTCCTATCAACTTTACGGCCAGTCAACGGACTGCGGTCGAGCTCAATAGCAGCTTTCTTTTCTCCGCCTCCTGACCCTCCGACATCTTTCTCTCCCGTGTCTAGGAACTTTCCAGTCAATGCCGCAACTCGTTTTCCTTTAGGAGCAACTGCTGGTTTGAGCCCGGGCTTGGGAGGTTTTGGTTTCTCAGCAGTCAATGGTTTTGGAACATTAGGTGGTTTTGGAGACGATGGTGGTTTTGGAGACGATGGTGGTGTGGCTTTCTTAGGCAGTTCAGGTTCCTTTGGTGGCGGCTTTGCAAATTCAAATTTTGGTTTTGGGGGCTCGGCTAAAGGTAAAATAATAATATTATGCATAATTTACATCACTATTACATTATATTATAATATTGTATATCTGAAAATTTATTGTATTTTTATTGTCAGTTAAATGTTGTTTGTTTTCGACTTCAATAAAAACAATTCTTATTACACCATAATGCATAACAAACAACATGCATACTAAAAATGAATTATATCTCTTATGAAAAGATATCCTTGTGAAGTAATTCTTATCATAGCAGAGAGATACATGATATAACAACAAACCCCATAAGAATGGAATACTACTCAGATTTTATTCAGTGAGAAACCATTTGCCAAAATTAGTCGATGCCCAAGGGACTAACTCTTATTTGCGAAAGAACAACTATGATAACTGACTGACCTGGTGGTTTGGGTGAAGGCTCTTTCGTAGTTCCTGATCTAAGCCTATTGCGTGCCATAGCTATCGATGATGCAAGATCACCTCCGGACGAAGGCGGGGCAGGAGAAGGAGGAGCAACTGGCGGTGGCTTTGAAGACTCAAATGAAGTAGATCTACAGAGGAACAAGAGAAAGGAATGTTAATGCACTATTGTACACTGAAAGGAAGACTCATGGTGAGTGAACAATGCTCTAGTAGCGAGTTTATACACAATATATAACTAGGGGAATTTGTGAAAATGTAAACTAATCAATGAAGCATAATTGGAGATATAGTACACGCTCAAGCAGCCAATCAACAACATCATGCCAATTGGATCCAAAAGGTTTGTTTCAATTTAATTAAGATATACATCTCTAGGGCAGAACTGTTGCTAAATGCAGTGAAAAACAGCTTATTAGCAAGTGAAAGGGTGTATACTAAACATTAAGTACATACTAAGAAATGATGGTAACAAGGAAGCTAAGGGACAACATGCTTCTGTTAAAAGCTACCATTTCTTTTATATCATAGCTACTAACAGTACAAGCAAGAACAGCTTAATGGCTCAAATAACATAATAATTTTCTGTAAAAACTCATGCAAGAAAATAAGAACTACATGTATCTAAAAACACTAACAGTATGAAGAGAGCTACATGTAAGGACTGGCTATATTGTCCATGTTAATGAAGCTCACTTTCTTTCAATTGGTGGAGTAGCATTAGACCCTCCTCTTAATCTCTTCTTCATTGCTGCTAGCTCACTAGCTAAACCACCACCACTAGCTCCACTATCATCATCATCATCATCTTCTACCGGAGGAGCTGGAGCGGGTGGTGGAGGTGGGACCTGTTATTTTATACAAAAGATAAAGTTGATAAGAATTGTTTTTTAATCGCTCACAGCTGGAGGCTTGGTCGAGGAAGGTGGTTTGGGAGGAGGAGCCTGTCCTGATGTGGCCAGTAACTTTGACTGTTGAATCTCCTAAGGGACATCAAAACCTTTTTACTAATACCAATAATAGTCACAAAGACACAAAGATGCTAAACTTTATCTCACTTAAACTTTGTGTCTTTTATAATTAATTCTCAAGTTGGTGCGTGACAAGTACATGTATATGTATGCATGGAATTTGATGAATTTAACAACAATAAAAGTTATCTAGTCCACCCACACATGTAATTACTTACTTGAAAACTTGTTGGTTTGCTTCCCGACCCAGGACGAGGTGGAGCTTGCTGGAATGCTGTCGATTGCAGTTTATTTTTTTGAACTAGGGAAAGAAATAATTTTGTTTTCTTATAATTAGAAATCTCTCACCATTAGCAACTGTCTGATTGATAGGCGGTCTAAGCATAGGCGGGGCTAAAGGGGAAACTGAATCAATTGGTTGTCTCTAAAATAAAAAGAAGGAAATTTAACAATTTTAGCTGTACAATAACAACATACACAGTACATACCATTGGAGGTCTCATTCCGATACCAAACGAAGGAGCTGGTGCTGGTGGTTTTGAAACCTGAGGCTCTTCTTCCTCTTCCATGCAATCGTAAATCTCTTCATCTTCTTCTGGCGGGTTTAAAGGTGGGCGGGGCATATCATGTACTGGAAGAGGTTGTCCTGTAAATAATGATAAATAAAAATAATAAAATTAATAATGATTTTTAACACCTTGTGGTGGTCTTATCGGAGGACGAATAATTGAAACCCCAGGGGACCCAATTGGCCCACCCATAGGGGGTCTAACTGGAGGGGGCTCTCCTTGACCTTTATAAAAAGAATAAACACACAGTCCATTAAACATTGGAGCACATACCAGTCATATCGTCATCAGCGATATCGTAAATATCTTCATTATCGCCATACCCAAAGTCGTCTTGTGTCATCCCCTCAATCCCTTCTATAAATGACACAATGTCACATGATAGTCATGTGATCAATAACTATAATAGTACCTGGTGGACAGTCATAGATTTCATCATCTATTGGTTGCTGGTCGGGCGGAGGCCCCATTGGCGGAGGTGGGGCCATTGGAGGTGGAGCTGGTTGGAAACCTTGAATCTCTCCCTCGGGCGGAAGATCATATATTTCATCATCTATTGGTTCTTCATTAGTCCCAGGACCACCAAGACCCATCCTATTAACAAATGATGGATTAATACATTGTATACATGTATGTGTATATCTGTCACTCATAACATGTGTATTGATATTAATATGCACAACATGTGGAATAGGCTTCACTGGCTCAATTTTGGAGCCACTTTAAAAATTTATAAGAAATCCAATTTTGATCGGAATCAGCTCAAACTTTCTACACAACATAAGAACATGTATATGTATCAGGAAACATTATGAAAATAAAGAATTCTTTACTTTTCATTTTTGGCAAAATTTGGCCCAAGTCCCTGTACTATAGTACAGGGACTTTAGCCCGATTTTTGAGTAACTTTTAAAATTTACAAAAAATCAAATTTTGATCGAAATTAGCTGAAACTTTCTAGGTAACATAAAAACATGTATATACATCAGAAAAAAATATAAAAATTAATATTTCTCTCGGAGCCAATTTTGACATACTATAGCCCATGGTCTTAGTGGAAGAATACATGTATGTGTAGATATATAAGAATGCTTTCTCCTAACTCAAATCCTAAGTATTGCATATTCTCAATTGGCATTCTGTGCATGGATACTCTATGTCTATACTTACTGCATTCCATCAAGAGTATTACTACCAATTCCGTGTGCATGGAACTTGGCCTTTAGAACTGCCAACTGTATGAAGAATATAAGTGACTCTAAAACAAGGACTTTAGTACTTACATGTACATTTGTTTTATTAGTCATTCCCATTTGCTGCTGAACTAATGAATAGAGAATAAAGATGAGAAAAAAAGAAAGAAAAGGACGTCATTGTAAAGTTATTTGAAGTTGTCATTTTATTATAAATTACTTGTTGCCGATTCTTCATACTCATCCTCAATTTCATCGTCATCTGCTGATACAGTGTCATATCATGTGTGAGTGTGTGTGTGTGTATGTTATAGAAATAAATGATACAGATAACAATAACAATGTATATGATAACAATGATCTATCCCTCTCTTTGTTGAAACAACAATAATTGCAGCAAATTAATTTGCAACGATTAAAATATTCATCCCTCTTACCGTCATCAAAAGAGTCCTCAGCTTCATTTTCATCCTCCATATTGCCGTCATCATAAATATCCTGAAATAAATATTAAGTATTGACTCTGTACAATGTATCGAATATTTGATTACCTCAGATTCATCTTGCTGATTTTCATCTGGGACAGCATCTACACACATAACAATAACGAAATGACTAAAATAAAAAAAGCAAACACTTGAATACCATAAATGTCTTCGGACTCTTCGTCGTGATATCCTGAAGCATCCTGAAACTGTCCAGGATATCCCGGGGGTCCTACCCCAGGGTGAGGCAGAGGCGGACGCATATTTGGAGGACCCGGCAAACGGGACGGAGGCATGGACGAGGGTAAAGGAGGTGGCTGGGAAGAAGGCAATGGAGGAGGCTGGGAAGAAGGCAATGGAGGAGGCTGAGACGAAGGGAGAGGCGGAGGAGCTGAAAAATTAGAGGGAGGGCCGGAACGAGGAGGATTGGGAGACGGACGAAAATTAGCAGGCGGAGGCTGAGGGGAGGAGGAGGGGGGAGGAGGGAGGGGGCCCCCACGTCCTGGACGAGGAGGCAGTGCTGGTGCCTCTGCTCCACTTGGAGGATATCCACCAATTGGACTAGGAGAATAACCCCCAACAGGATTAGGAGGAGCAAGATCAGATTTATTGCCTTTCTTTTGAGCACTAGATAATACAGAGGTAATATGATCTGTTATGCAGTGTACTAAGTGCAGAGGACTTTATACTGCAAGCTATTATTCATTACGTATTGAATTCTGTACCAAGTAAACACAGACCTGCACACATTCTTATACTGGCTGAGACATTAAACTAAACACACACTCGTGTATGCATTTTAAGTGTAAAACCAACCTTGCTGCTTTTTTTTCTTTCTTTAGAGGGGCCCGACCAGGCAAATTCCCGAGTGCTTTCTTTAAAAGTCTGAAATTGAAGTTAAAAGAGAATTCTAGAAAGTGTCCTTTTACTTTTTTTTCTTCTCTTCTTTCATTGATTCTAAGGTCTTGAATTCGTCCCAGGTCAATAGCTAGTAGGGAAAAAGAGAGAGAGAGGGGGGGGGAGGGAGGAGAGAGAGGAAAAGAGTGATATTTGTAACAATAAATAGAAGAATTCCAGTAATGTATGTCAGTACAAGTACATCATAACAACATCCCACATTAATCCATGTTTCATTACCAAAAGTCTCTGCCCATCTATCTGAAGAGACTGGAATTCTCCTATGCACGACTCGAGTTTGGAGGATTTCAACCATTCACAAACTTCAGCCATACCCCAGCCTTGCACCTCTGCTTCTGTCACTTGATTCTTACTTGATGGCATCTTAAGAGAATGAGCTGAAGAGGAAGGGCAGACAAAAAGAACTAGAAGGATAATAAAGAAGAGGAGAAGAGAGTGAGATAAGGAGAGGAAATGAGTTGCAACCATACAAAATAAAAATAAAATTAAAATGGGAATTGGCACTTAATACAGCATAGCATTTCTAATAACAGGAAAGAAGTGGGTAACATTTCAAAACAGATCATGACTCAAATAATTGTAATTATAAGATTGGACAGTACATCCCTTGTGATAAGGATATACAATCTACATGTACATGTACATGTACATGTACATGTACATGTACATGTACACAATGTATACATACAATACATACAAGCAGATACAATACGTACATGCATTATTGTACCTAATATATACAGGACACACAAATTGCAACTGCAACATGTGTTGCTTACATCTGCATCTGTTTGTCTGACATTAAAAAGACATTATTGTTTTGCATACACACACACACACACACACATTTATGCCTCCCTTATTGTATGTATGGTACATCAACAAATGTACAAACATTTCTCACAATAAGGACGACACTCCCTTCCCTTACTAAACAACCACAGAGTATGATTTTGGCAGCCTCATAGTGTTTATTTCATGTACCATGACTATAAATAAGTTATATATAATTAGCATGGTGAGACTAGAAAGACTCTACTTCATTTGATATTAAGCAAAAGTGTCTGGCAACATTCATCGGTATTAGGTGGAATAAAATTGTGGTTTGGGTGCATCTATCTAGTTATAGGCATGCTTAAATATTTATTAGTCTTTTGTCAACATTGCTTTTATCTAAAATGCCAATCATTATAGTAAAGTGATTTTTTATGTTCTCAATGTATATACATACTGAAGGCTCAGTTTCATGTCACTCATTCTCAGAATAGAATAATATGCACAAATCAGAACAAAACCAACCGCCCACTTCCAACAGCTCCGAGGAGAGAGAGAGGCACGCTAACTAAATATACATACATTACAAGCCAGCTAATTGATTTTTACAAGGTGATAGCTCTCAGCTCATATACTTTAAATACGCTTCCTAAACATGTAGCCCTACAAGGCGAGAGCACGCTAGAGCTAACCTTATGTCAATCGCCGGTAGCTACCTGGCTCGACTATCAACCAGTCAGACAGTTATCCGAGTCAAAACGAAGTAACAGCGATAAAACAGGTCCCCTTTAGTCAAAGGTACATACAGGAAGGGTTTGGGGCGTTAACCTCATTAAGTTTATTGGCATGATTAAACTCTACTCATAATGCAAAAAAGATCATTAATATTCATGTACAATGGAATGCACAAACAGTGACCAATTGATCAAGGTTTATAATATTCAGATGAAGAATACCCAAATAATATCTCGGTCACAAACTTAGCCGTGGAAATAACCGAAGACCAGAAGTCATCAAGGATCTCTCCCTTTGACTCCTTATCCAATGAGCCTTTCTCACTCGAATCAAAAACCTCATCACTGCCGTCCTTCAACTGATACGAGAGGAGTTTAAGATTAAGAGTCTGAGTGCCTAGTCCATCCTCCAGTGTAGCATTGAAGGATATGAACTGGTTGGACTTTAACTTCAATAAATTGCTATCCAGTAGATACTGATGACCCATCCATACAGAGAGTACAGCCGTCATTCTAAGAGACTCTCCTCCGCTTGGTATCATGGTTGATATATGCACATTGTATTGGTTCTTTGAATCGAAATGACAGCCTTTGAAGATGCATGTTTTTGAGTCTGCCTGTCTACCACAAAATGGCTTAGTCTCGCCCATAAGACACGTCAAGGTATTCCGAACAGAATCAGGGAAGTTGGATAATGTAGTGAGAGGACTATTGGTAATCTCACTAATCCTGACTTCTTTTATTTGTGCAATCTCGACGCTGAGGACACTGCCTTTCAAATGAAGGCAGTCAAGTTGATTTTGTATGAGGTTATCATTTATGGACGTGTCCACTCCACACAAGTGATTGTATTCCTCAAATGATAAGATATCAAAGGAGGAAGGAGGGGGAGAGTTGTAGTAGAGTGTGCCAGCAATGAACAAAATGCCTCCAATTAAGAATTGAGCTATCAAAACATGATTGATGTTAATGTTTAGCTTTAAAGCTTTCTTGTCTTTGAGGTGCTGGTAATACTTCATTAGTAATACACTGGCAATGCTAACAATAAGAAGCAGGATAAGTGAGATCAGAAGTTGTACGGAGAAACCGTAATAGATCAGAATGATTAGTGGCGCAGAGACAATTAGCATTGGGAGGAATGGCAAAAAGAAAAGGCAAAATAAAACACCTGGACCAAATATGAATAAAGACACAACAGAGGAGTGTGTGAAAATGGATCTACAGAATATCCACCAAGAAATAAACAAGAGGTAAGGGCCCAAACCATAAAATAGATTCTTCCACGAGTATTGAGACCCGTAATACAACACGAGTGCAATGTGGAGCGGTATTTGGATGAGTGATGTGATGTTTATACCGATCCAAATCCCTGGAAAGACTGGTATTGAGACTAGATTCCATCCGGTTATAAAGAATAAGTCAGGTATTGGGACCAGAGAGCTAAACATGTAGAGAAATACTAACCCCCAGCTCAATAGCCGAGTGGACAGGACTAATAGTATCAGAGGAGACTTCCAACATGAGAACTGAAAGAAGACAAGGAGTGACATGGCCCCAGCAATGATTACTAGTATCTCATAGAAAAGAGCTTCTTCTAATGCCATTCCCATCAGAAATATACCCAGAACTGTTGTTAGACTGTATGTAGCATAAGGGATTGCAGAGCTCACGATGAAATCCGGATTATTCAAGATGGCATCTTTATCTTCTTCGCTCTCGGCAAAGTGAGAGAAAAGAACAGAGTATTCTTCGTAGGATTTAACTTTAGACGAATTGGCAATGACTTGAAGCGTTGATACAACCATCCCCATTAGACAGATAAAGAAAGCGAGTGTAGCTAAGCCAGAGAGCATGAACTGGATATTAATGAGAGGTACTAAGTATATCAGGAGCAATATGAAGAACTGCCTGAGGGGGAACATCGACCACACCCATCGCATCCCATACCTCTCAATGGTCTGCAACACATAATGCGAAACAAGGCGAAGACTTTGAGATGGAAAACTGGTCACCTAAAAAGGAATTATAAGTTCATTAGACAGCTGTAGGCAATGTTTTAATTTTTTTCTACTAACCTTCTTCAGCCAATTAGATTTTTCAAAGCTGTCGAGTTCTTCTGATGTTAGTTCTGCAATGCCTTCAGCCTCAACGGAACTGAGAAGGTCGGCTTCTCCACGAGAGTATAAGCAGGCAGTCAAACAGAACTTATCTTCAGTAACCTACAGAAACAAACACACAATAATGTACATGTAGTTAGAATAAACTTGGAAGCCATTTTTCCTGTACTGTAGTACATGGTCCGGGCCAAATTTCATCAAAATTGAAAAGTAGATAATTCTCCATTTTTAAAATTTTTTCTGATACACATACTTATTCTAATGCCATGTTTCAAGTTTGAGCTAATTCCAATCAAGTTTAAATTTTTTATGAATTTTTAAAGTTACTCAAAAGTCGGGCCAAAATCCCTATACTATAGTACAGGGATTTTGACCAAATTTCGCCAAAAATGATTAGGATGAAATTCTCCATTTTAATAATTTTTTCTGATACATATACATGTTTTTATGCTATGTTTCAAGTTTGAACTGATTCCAATTAAAATTGGATTTTTTACAAATTTTTTTAAGTTACTCAAAAATTGGACTAAAGTCCCTGTACTATAGTACATGGTCTCAGGCAAAATTTTGCCAAAATGGAAAAGGAGATGATTCTTAATTTTTATAATTTTTTCTGATGCGTATACATGTGTTTATGTCATGTTTCAAGTTTGAGCTGATTCCAATCAAAATTGGATTTTTTTACGAATTTTAAAGTTACTAAAAAAACTAGCCAAAGTCCCAATACATGATCTCAGGCCAAATTTTGCCAAATTAATAGGTGAGAATTCTTCACTTTTATTACATTTTCTAATACCGGTACATGTACTTATGTTACAGCCACGTACAATAATGTCTCCTTTGTCATTAGTAGAGAGGCAAGAGTTCAACAGCTTCTTCATTGTTTGTCTCAGTTTCTTTTTGTACGAATCGCTATCTTCTCTTTTAGTGGCAAGCAAGCGCTCCACTGCTTCCCCAATTTCATCTTTGTAAATGTAATCTCTTCTTTCTGCCATTGTTTCGAAAATGTCCTTCGCTACCACGTAGACCTCCTTCTCTCTATCGGTACTTTTCACTAGTACGTATGCCATTTTCCTAAGATCACTAGGCAGCTCGTTGATTACACTATTGGAGAGATCAGAGAACAAGCTATTGATTCTCTTCACGGCATCCCGGGATTCTTCGGCAGCAGCTCGAATGAAAAGTTTCAATCCCTGGGCCACTAAATGAGGTTTTTCACTGGAACTTGACTCCTTTGCTTCATCTATTAGTCTCTTGCCTTTCACTATTAGCTCTGTGGCACGGGGCTTGTCTTCAGGAGCAATTTCAGTCATACCCTTTGGTTCGGCCATTGCGAGGGCCATTGGCTCCGGGGCGGTTCTATTAAAATTATGAAAATCCTTAACGAGCCCCGCCCTTGTTTTGCAAGAAGACGCCTACGACATTATGAAGCTCCTTTTTATAACTCTCTCTTTCCTTTTCTTTGCATTTGCAGCAGGTATAAACCACTTACTTGTGCTTTATAAATCTCTTATTCTTTAGATGCTCAATCTGCAAGCAACCTCAGCTCTTATGGAAGCGAATTCTTTGTTGGGTTTTATGAGCATGTCCACACAGGGATCACTCACATATTTTATATCCACACAAAGCTAACCACTTCTGTCTCTTTCAGCATCTCTTCACTTGATGGGGTCTTCTCTTACACTGGAACTACCACCAGTCAGAATCCAGCAGCAGTCACTATACCTGCATCATATGAAGTCCGAGCTGAAACTTCCACCTACAGAGATAAAGGTCTGAGAGTCACTTCTCTGGAGACCGAGCCTATCTCTGTCCTTGCTTGGAGTTACCGTAGTGCAGCTGATTACATGTCTTATTTAGCTCTTCCTTGTCACGCTCAACCCACAACTGAATACACTTATTATGTTGTGTCCACGTACGGTTGGTCGAGCCAGAAGAGCCAGTTTCTCATCATTGGCTGCAAGTTTAATACAACTATCACAATAATACCCAATAACAGGATATCTGTGCCTGCTGATCCTCAAGTTAGCAGTTCTCCTATTGTTAGCATTTTCCCTGGTAATACTTACAAGTTTACTCTTAATTCTCTTCAGACCTTTTTTGTGTCTGAGTCTTATGTTGATTTAACTGGTACTATGATTGTTTCAAACAAACCAATAACTGTCATAAGTGGGCACGAGGCAGCACAGGTTCCTACTCACACTCTTGATGCTGATCCCATTGTCACTCAACTCACTCCAACCATCACCTGGGGCAAAAGATTCCTCCTTGCTCCACACTACAGTCGCCAGAATGGTCAGAGTTATAAGATACTGGCACTAAATAACATGACTAGTGCTGTACAAACTTGTGCCACTTCATCCGGGAACTACAATGCTACCAATATTACGTTTAATGCTAATAACACTGCATGGGTGTATACCCTCCAGGGTACTTACTGCAGCATCATTGCAAATGACTCCATTTACGTTGCTCAAATAGGTGTCAGCTCTAACTATGCTCAAACCAGCAGTGGTGATCCTGCCCTTTATACTATCCCACCTATAGAGCAGTACGAACAGGAGGCACAGTTTACTTCATTCACACAGGCAACTGGCTATTACAGTGTTGTTGTGCCTAATGATTCCTACTTCACCAACAGTCTGAGGATTAACGGCTTTGTACAAAACATCACGTTCATCCCAATATATTCTTCTAACGGAACTGTCCTTGGATATGGCTACTCAGCTTCAACTTCGGGCAGTAATATAATATCACATACTAACTCTCAAGGACGTCTTTTTGTATCCGTCTATGGGTTCACCACTTATGGTGGATATGGATATCCTGGAAGTATGATGCTTAATCCTATAAATGGTGATGCTGTCACATCTGTGCCTGAGGTTACTTTCTCTGATACTGAGTTCACTGTCAATGAAGGAGATGGAATGGCGTATGTGTATCTTGAGACAAACGATGCTGGACTTCAAGCTAACATCACAGTTAGACTGTTTTCTAACCCAACAACTGTAGACACTGCTCTCAGTAAGCAGTTGCATGCATAATGTACAGGGATAAACAAATTCATTGCATGTTTAGTGGGTTGCATGACCATCATTTGACAATGGATGTTTATCATAATCTTATTCATTCTTTTTCTCCATGCATAGTTGGTCAAGATTATTCATCATTCAGTATTCTAGTCACATTCAGTGGTAATGAGACAACCAAGAGTGTTTCTATACCGATTATTGATGATGATTATGCCGAGCCAACTCAATACTTTACCATAAGCATTGAGAGTCCTAATAAAAATGACGACATCACTTTTCCAATTACAGAAGCAGTCGTAAAGATAATTGACAATGATGGTAAAATAGATTAGTCTTACACATTGTTTTTATTTAAGTGTTTCTAGCCATTGCGATTGGCTTTCTGGATAGTCAGTTTTCTATTGGAGGCAATGGAGGTTTGACATACATCAATGTTGGGATTGTGAGTGGTAGTCTGGAGCCAGATGGTTCTTCAACCTTCACGCTAGAAATAATTATTGTAGAAGGTAAAATGCATCAATTACTAACATAAAACTTATTATTAATTTTCAAAAGGTCAAAATTCCAGCTTTATTTCTGGCAGTCTGTCCTCATTCAATCCAGTAATATCCTATGGTTTTAACTTGTCCCAGCTCTCAACCTACAACCCTAACAGTACTAATCAGAGCCTTTCTGCACTGCTATCTGTATCAGCTGCATCAATCAATGTTACGCTGGAAATGGCTAATGCTGAAATTGTTCCAGTAGTTCCTATTTTCCCATCATCAGCTCAAGCATTTATGTCCTCCTCCGTATTCTCTTCAATGATGGGTATGTATTCATCATCAATGATTGTGTGCTACACTACTGGCATGGGGGAGTCTTCTAGCACCATGATAGCTCCCACCTCCAGCAGTTCCATGGCTAGCAGTAGTTCAACCACCACAAACGTCCCAGTCAGCATAAGTATAATTACTGTTTCAGAATCAGCCATCATGACAACGGTTCATGACACTGTTATTCAAACTGCTACTGTATGTCCTTCATTGGGTAATACACCACTTTTGAGTATCAGCACAACCACTTACACTACCACTGCTACAGTAACAGCTTCTGCTTCAGCATGCCGTTCATCTAATAGCTCAACACCTACTCGTTCATCATCTGATAAATCACAGCCCACACCTGAAACTAATGCTTTTACTGAGAAGATAGAAGTGGTGGGAAGCGCTTTATATTTTGGTATTGCTGTTATTATAATTGCCGTTCTTGTCCTAATTGCATTGTCAATATTTTGCTGCGTGTTTTGTTACAAGCGGGGGCACCAGAAGGGGCGAATCTCTGAGATCAAGTTTGACAGAGAGATTGAAATGTCTGGTACTAACCCGCTTTATGATGATCCATCAGACACTATGTCGTACCGCAGCTCAGTTCCATCTGTGGATGAAAAGAAACTACTGCAGTTTATGCAGTGAAATGATACAAACAGCAAGTTTTAATAAAGACATTGTGTGTGTGTGTGTGTGTGTGTGAAAGCTATAGTATAAAACTAATAATAACTTTTTAATCTATGTCCGTGTTATTGCTGCATAATAATAGTGTGTGTTTAAGCTTTAATTAGTCAGTTTTGTAATTTTAAAAAAATTGTTTTTGCTGGAGGAAAAATAACACTGTTAAAGAAACTGCTCAATTGTAAACATGTTTACTCGATTCCTTAGTCATCTTCAGAGCTTTTCGTCTCCTTCTTCTCTTCCTCAATGTTATCCATTTCCATGTAAATATCATCATAGATCTCCTCACCATTATTGTTAACGTGATAAGGAAGCATTGGCAATGGAAGGCACTGGTTTTTTGTGCCATCTTTCTTGCTCCCTTCATAATCATTAGGATTACTAAGAGGCTGAGCAGCAAGTGGGTAGCTAGTGATGACTGGTAAATCATTTGTCACCATTGTCATTCTCTGTCGCCTTGTTCCTACACTCCTTCCACAGAAAAACCCACCAACCCCACCAACAATGCAAAGAATGAAGATTATTATGTAGCCCATTACACCTCCTACGATGACATTTGAATTCAATGATGAAGATTGCATTGTTGTTGTTGTTGCTTGTGTGGCTGAACACAGTGGAGTTTTCTCAATTGTTATTGTTATGACCGAAAGGGATGGTAAAGGTGTTGTAGCCACAAAAACAGTTGAAGCAATGTTTGTGACTGTCTCACAAGAGCTCGTAAACAGTGTTGTAATGGGCCTTGTGTAAACTGTCGATATAACTGTGATTGAAGGACACGTTGATGATGAGTGCAAAGTGTTTGGAGTGGGTGTTATATAAACAGTCGAAGTCAAAAACACCTCACTCGTTGCACAATTAAGAGGAGTTGTTGTTCCTGGAGCATTAGAGCTAGTTGATTTTTGTTGAGTGTAGATAATTGTAGCAACAGATGGCTCTAATGTTACATTAATGTTTGATTTATCGATAGCAAGTTTTCCCATTAGTACGGCATTGTTCTCATTATATATGAGAGAGAATGGAAGATGAGAAAGATTAAGACCAGCGACATATCTTCCACTGTAGTTATAGAAGTCAAAGCGAGTAATGTTTAAAACTGTGCCTATACATGTAATGAATGGCATTGAATATTTTAAACTTTAATTGTTTTTATTCATACCTGATAAGTCTTCAACTTGCAATTGAACAGTTGAAGTTTCTCCTGATTGCAATATTCCATGATAATTTGACACATCAAGAAGAAGTTCAGTACTATCAATGATCAGTGAAGAGTTACTAAAGCCAATCTGTATATCTGGAGGAAATAAGCATATATGATAATTCTGATAGACATATGAATGCTCATACTTACAATCATCATCACGTATTTCAACTACACATTCTGTGATTGGAAAGACAGCTACTTCTTGTCCAACAGCCTCTAATCTTACACTGAAATACTCCGTAGGCTCAGCATAGGAATCATCAATAATAGCAATCGCTACACTGTGTAGCGTTTCTCCTTCTCTAAATGTGACCACTACACTGGTTGGCATGTAGTCATCCCCACCTATAGCAAGTAGATGTATTATTAGTGCATCAGTCATATATTCACTATACCTTCTGCTGTGTTTACTTGCTGAGGAGTGACACTCACTCTCACCGACACTTCTTCTTCATCATTCACACTCCTATTTAAGTAGATAACAGCATTACCATTTCCTTCCGTAACAATAAACAGCTCTCGAGTAAAGCTGACCAGTGGAAGCGGTAATTGTGGGTTTATTGGGTTAAGACCCATGCCACCTGAGAATGCAAAGCCTTTGTGTGTCAGCCATCCATACACTGAAAGAAATATCCCACCTGAAGTGTTTAGATGAGTCAAGGTATGAGTTCCAGACGTTGAAGCATGAAAGCCGTATCCAGCAACTGTTCCATTAGGAAAGTAAATGATGGAGTCCCAAGAAATAGAGTAGAGATTATTATCTAATATCAGGCCACTGGTAAAGTATTGATCTCTTGGCATAAGCAAGCTCACACCACTTAGTGCAACAAAAAATGATGTATACTCTATTGAGTGTATGTACTGGTTTATTGGAGGAACTGTGTTAAGTGTTGGGTCACCATAAGAAGCTCCATTAAAGAAAGTACTTGGTCCAACATGTGCCACATATATTGGTTTATTAGATATGAGACTGCAGTAAGAAGTGGAAGAAGTATTGAACTCATAGACCTGCCCAGAGAAAAGAGTAGCGTTAACTGCAGGCCCTGTCCCACATCTCCTTTGAATATTAGTTCTATTCCTGTCAGCAATGATCTTATAAAACTGGCCACTCTCCCTATTATGATGAGGAGATAAGAGGAATTCCTTGCCCCAGGTGATGGTTGGAGTGACTTGTGTTGCCATTGGATCAGCATCCCTTATTCCAAGTGGAACCTCAGCAGCAATGTGTCCACTTATAACAGTGAGAGGAGCATCTGACATTATCTTTATGCCGGAGATATCAGCAAAGGCTTGAATTATTTTTATAGTCTGTCCTGCATGTATAACGAATGTATTGCTTTCTCCTGCTCGGTATGTCTTAGATGCACTGATTGATGATTGCGGGTTCGCTGACATTGTAAAATTAGCATGTTGAGTTGGTATTACAGTGACATTGGTATTATTCATGCATCCAACAAGAAGAACATAGCCAAAGAAATCATTGAAACCATAAGATGAAACTGCATAATATACGTAAGAATTTGTTGGTTGAGTGTGGCATGGTAGTCCCAGAAATGAAAAGAAACCAAACTGGTTTTCACTCCTCACAACAATCGATACAGGCTCAGTCTCAAGTGATGCTATATGCAGTCCTAGCCTTCGATAATTATAGTGAGGATCAAGAACTTCATAAGTCAGTGGTATAGCAACGATATCAGGATCTCCTGCAGTGGTTGTACTGGAATAGCTAAAGTCTTGATTGAGTGACTCGATGCTGTATTGAACTGATGTACTCTTGAGCGTGTGTACCGTTAGTGTGAGGTTCTGTGCTCCATTGACACTTCTTGGGAAAGCCAAATAAAATTCGTTTCCATAGGAAGAAAGGTTGCTAGCAATTTCTGTATGAAAAAGATGCTGTAAAGTTTCAAGTCCAAATATAAGATATAAAACTAACCATTGCACTGTTGAAGTGAAATGATCAATAAAATGACAACTTTTAAAGAGCAGCTAGATCTAGTTGCTAATAGCTTCATGACCTTGAGGTATATACAGTTAAAGCTCTTGGCCTGACGGGAGAGAGTGCAATACTAAATTGCAATTGTTTTCTCATTATATATTGAAGTCATTTCCTCTGAAGGTGAACTTGACAGCACACATATGCAACTTGTGCTTATTTAAAGCCCACTTTCATTGTTCCGCTTTAATGTCTTAAAATCAATATCAATGTAATCAATCTTCTTGAGCTCCTTTAAAGAACAGAAAGAAGTATTTTAGATAGATCTATGAGACCACACAATAGCTAGTTGATGCGTGGACTTAATGATTGCTAAAGGCTTCTTGGAATAAAAAGTATTTTATTCAAACATTATTTGTTACAGCAATTAAGATATGTCAACTATAGACTATACACTAGATCTATCTAAAAAGTAGTACAAAATATTAATTAATAATAAAATCTTTAAGTTCTTCATATGATTCGATACTATTGTTGTCTGCATCATTGGAGCTAATTGTGACATCATAATTGTCTTGTTCATTCAATGTAGCTGGATCAAGACTTGTGTATACTCTTGAATCCCCTGCACCTTCTCCTGGTACATCATTCAGCTCTTGCATGGCTGTTTCTGTTTCACGTTTAATACTAGCGTAAGTAGCATCTGTGAGATCTACTTCAGTATATCTGGTATGCTGAAGCTTTGAATACGAAATAGGATCATTCTTTTCATGTCTCAGTTCAGCATATTCTTCAACGTCATCATTAATTGAATTTGCATTATTATTTCTGTACAGTTCGTTAGCAATCAGTTCAGTAGAGCTACGATCACGGAAACCATTGGCTTGCTTCCTTTTACCACACTTGTAGCTAATAATCCCAGTAACAACACAGAGTGCAGTAAAGACTAAGGCAAGAACAGCTAATGCACTAGCACCAATGATAGTGTATGTGTTACCAATTGCTTGACTGAACAAACTGTTAGTTGATTCAACAGTTGTAAATACTGTAGTAGCAGCAGTTGGCATATACACAGTAGTTGGTTCAACAGTCACATATACAGTGCTAACAAAGAGCAACGTACTAGTAGTAGTTTCTAATGATGGAGTTGGAGATATGAGTGGCATAGATGAGGTTATATATGGTGTATCAAATAGCATGAAAGTTAATGCAGAAGGAGATATAGAGACTAGAGGACCTTCTTCATCAAAAGGAAGCAATAGTGCAGTAACATTAACTGGTTCATCATTTGTTAAGCTCAGCTCAGTTGCAAGTTTAGTAATATCATATGAGACAGTATAACTACTGATACTGTAATTAAACTGTAGGATATTAGTGAGAGATTGTCCTAAAATAAAATATGATGCATACACATGTCAAAGGAATATACCTTGTAGATTCTTTATTTGTAGAAATAAGTTAGCAATGTTGTCAGGTTTTAGTGTACCATTTGAGAAAGTTATACCAACACTTACCTCTCTTACTTCTTCTCTCATTGTTACACTACTCAGCCCAATTGTTAAATCTAAACATGGATAATTTATTGTATCGCTTCATCTATCACTTACAATCATCATCTCTTATCACAACTGTTGTTTCATCACTATTAGTACAATAGAGATCACTTGTTAGCACTGTAAATCCCACTGTGAGATTATACACACTTTCTTCTGTACTATAATCATCATCAGGTATTGATACTGACACTGATGCAATGCTTTTTCCAAGAGCAAATACCACTGTTTCATTGAAACCTGTAAACAAAAGAGGAAAAGGTATGAAAAATCAATTAATAAGTACCATTATATGAAATAAGGATTGTATCTTCTGTGTCTGAAACATTTCTTTGTACATAAATCATAGCTTTGCCTCCTTCTGTAGCATAATAAACATTTGAACTAAAATTTACTAATTTACAAAATTGGGGCTGAAGAAAAGTTCCAGTTAAATATCCATATCCACCATTAGGTGCAAATCCATAAGCACTGACATATATTGTTCCATTAGGATGACTGTGACTGATAGTATAGGAACCACTGGCTGTAGTATTGTATCCATATCCAATGATAACTCCATTAGTATCTCTGATTGGTGTCCAGTTTAATGTGGTAAGAACACCATTAATGATTACAGTACCATTGTAGTAAGAATCAGCAGGTACTGCTATACTATAGAAATTAGTTGGCATAGCAGGTAGTGTAGTGAATGTAACAGAGTGAGGATACTGACTGATGGGTGGAACTGTCATTAATAAAGGATCGCCATCACTATCAAAATTACTTTGATAAGTCATACTAAAAGCTAGTTCAGAAACATAGCAAGGTCGACTACATGTTAAATCACAAAAATCAGTATGATTTGTATTATATTCAAGAAATGATCCAGGTGACATCAATGCAGTATTAATAGAAGAAGTATTACAAGTAATAGCAACGATTGTAGCATTGTCTGATGCTATTATTTTTAATCTCTGACCATTTGTACGGCTGTAAAGTGGAGTAAGAAGAAACTGTGTTCCCCAATTAATAGTTGGTGGTACTTGTGTACTGATAGGATCACAATCTAAAAAACCTGAAGGAATTTGAACACAATCGTGTCCCCCTACAACAGTCAGCGGATAATTAGAGACAATCTTTGTTCCACTGAGATCAACATTAGGTGCACCTATCAATAAAGTCTGCAATGAATGAAGTGTGATGGTATGACTTGATCCAGCAGCAACATTGATAATAGAACTGGTAGATGATTGAGGATTATCAGGTAATTGTACATCATGAGTAGGAGTGATAGTCACTGTAGTATTGTCCCTACAACCTACAAGAAGTACTTGACTATGAGATCCTGAAGTATCTCTTGATGATACACCATAATAAACATATTCTTGTACTGGTTGCTCAATGCAAGGAAGAGCAAGGTATGTTGAACGAGGTGTTGATGTCCATCCAACCAATACAACAGAGATAGGTTTATCAGGAGGTGACGTAACAAGGAGACCAAGTTGACGATAATCATAGGTAGTCTCACGAACCTGTAGAGTTGATGGTAAAGTCACAATAGCAGGAGTATCTCTTGTAGTAGTTCCATTGTGAATGGATCCATTAAGAGATGATATACTAAACTGAACTGGAGATACACTTTTTGTTAGTATTATCATATCAATACGACTTGTTGATGAGAACTGCCTGAGATAAGCAACTTTGAATTCACTTGCTATATTACTAAACTCATTTGGTTTACCTACAATGGACATTATATGAGTCTTTTATCTACACAGAGCACCTCACCTCTTCCAATCAGTAACAGTGCTATTATGTAGAGGACAGAGAGATTACCAGCATTAACAGCTACCATGGTGGATGCAAGATGTGGGAGTTAAGATGCCAGTTTGTACTATCAGGTGTTTATTTATTCATTGCTATCACATGATGCATTGCATCCCTTATATGTACATATATTGTTTAGTATAATTATTGTATGGACTAGCACTAAAAATTCAAACTTGATTCTTAAGTATCTGTGTTCAGATTAGGTGTGTATTTAATTCTTTATTATTTATGTGACTAGACTTCACGGATAACAAAAAAATTAGTAAAATTCTTTCAATTCTCTATATGATGATGCATGCAGTTGTACCAGCAATGGTGTAGATGTTACTGACCAACTGAGTAGATGATACATCAGTTGGCTGAACAGTTACATATACAGTAGTGATAGTAGTAGGCTGAATGGTTCTAATAACTGTCTCTGAAAGCATTGGAGATGTGGTTAATCCTGCATATGGAGGTGTAAAAATGCTTGAGCTGAGGAATGATGAGATTGCACTAGATTGAGCAAAAAGTGTGAAATGCAACCTAGCCAATGAAATAGACAGTAGAGCAGTAATATTGACAGGATCTCTCTCCAGATTTAGCTCAATAGCAAGCCGAGTGATATTAAATGAAGCATCATAACTATTTTGACAATGTATTCAAGCAATAAAGTACTGGCATTGAGAGATTGACCTATAAATAAGAATGTCATAGCTAGAGAAAAGTGTCAAATTTTAAATATTTTTGAAAGCAAAACTAAATGTCTGATAGCAGTAATAAAATAAATGTTTATAGTGCAGTTGCTGTCATGTCTTCATATATTTCCTCTTCTTCATTCAAAGGATCAGGTACATCTCCTACTATTTGTGGAGGAGGGGGAAGAGGACTAGTAACATCAGCATATGCGGTTGGTCTGTCCATTGTAGCTGTATTTATCATAGTGTATGACCTGGGGTGAGGATTGCTAGTGGCAAAATTACGATATTGATTTAAGTGCGAGTACGAAATAGTGTTGGACTTCATTGAAGGAGGAGGAGGATCAACTGATGCCATTTCAGTATACATTTCTTGAGGACTCTCTGAAGTTCGTGAATCAATAGCAGCTGGATTAGTAACGCCGTATGGAACCCTCTTCATTTCTGTCGTAGTAGAAGTGATTTGAATGCTCTCCATTTGACCAGTTTTCTTACCACACCTGTACATAATAATTGCAGCAATGATGCTGATAATAGTAATAACAATTACAATAACAACGAGGAGTCCACCAATGATAGAACTATTGATACTGTCACTGCTAGCTTGTGTCGATACTGCATCAGTCGGTTGAACTGTCACATACACTGTATTACCAGTAATGCTTCTTGTGGGTTGAACAGTCACATATACTGTACTTGCTGGCTGTTGAACAGTTAAAAGTAATGTACTTGTGGTGGTTGCAATAGATACTGATGGAGTACAGTAATTAGTGGCTGCATCAGAATACTGAGAATACGTACCGGACTGAGAATATGTACCGGACTGAGAATACGTACTGGACTGAGAATACGTACTGGACTGAGAATACATACTGGACTGAGAATACGTACCAGTATTGCTAGCTAAAGAAGGTATTGGAGATTCACTAGACATTGTAATGTTTAATGTAGCAGGAGAGATGGAGACAAGGAGATCATCATCATCAAAAGGAAGCAAGTGAGCAGTAATATTAGTCGGATTTATCAAGTTGAGCTCAGTTGCAAGCCGTGTAGCATTAAATATAATGGTGTAACTATCAATGCTACTCTGAAACTCCAAAGTACTGTTTATTGATGATGAATGATCTGCCATAAAAAATTGAGCAATATAAATTATACTGATTAAAAATAATTACCTTGTGAATTCTTTATTTGCATATTAATACTAGCAATATACCCAGGTTTGAAGATGCCACTGTAAATACGAATGCCAATGCTTATCTGTTCCATCCCCTCACTTATCACTCCACCAGTAAATCCAATAGTCAAATCTATGAGGAAACATTGATATGTATTAGTGTCAAATGTTTGAAAACAGATCAAGCAATATTATAGTTTGAAACTAGTTATATCTAGAACAAGTACAAATATAAGAATCTCATAGCCATACTCAATGAAACATCATGCACTAGCTATAATACATGATCTTTGGTCTCATTTTTCAGTAACTTTTTTAATTTGTAAAAAAATCCAGATCTGACTATAATCAGCTCAAATTAAAAAAAATAGCATAAGTACATGTATTCATATTGAAAAAAAAATTATAAAAATGGAGAACTCTTTTGTAATCCCTGTACTATTGTACAGGGACTTTGGCCTGATTTTTTAACAACTTTAAAAATTCATAAAAAATCCAAATTTGATCAGAATCATGTGAAACTTGCTACAAAACATAAAAACATGTATATGTATCAAATAAAATTATAAAAATGAAGAATTTTAATTTAGTCATTTTTGGCAAAATTTGACTAAAATCTCTGTACTATATAGTACAGGGACTTTGGCCTGATTTTTGAGTAACTTTAAAAATTCATAAAAAATCTAAATTTGATCAGAATCATGTGAAACTTGCTACAAAACATAAAAACATGTATATGTATCAAATAAAATTATAAAATGAAGAATTCTGTTTTAATCATTTTTGGAAAAATTTGACCAAAATTCCTGTACTACATAGTACAGGGACTTTGGCCCAATTTTTGAATAACTTTGAATATTTGTAAAAAATCCAAATTTGATTAGAATCATGTGAAACTGCTACAAAACATAAAAACATGTATATGTATCAAATAAAATTATAAAAATGGAGAATTCTGTTGTAGTCATTTTTGGCAAAATTTGACCAAAATCCCTGTACTATAGTATAGGGACTTTGGCCCAATTTTTGAGTAACTTTAAAAATGTGTAAAAAAATTCAAATTTGATTGGAATCAGCTCAAACTTGAAACAAAACATAAGTACATGTATTTGCATTAGAAAAAAAATTATAAAAATGAAGAATTCTTTCCTGGCCATTTTTGACAAAATTTGGCCAACTATAGTACAGTATCTTTTGACAAACTTTTTTGCGTAACTTTAAAACTTCAAAATCAGCTCATACTTTCTATACCAATAAAGAAAAGTATATGCATCAAGTAGTATTATAAATTCTTCCCCAATAAAAGTTTAGATTTAGCTAAAACAACATTAATTCACCATCATTATCCTTAATGACAATTGTTGTTTCTGCACAAGTTTCCTCGTCTGTTTCTGAATTAAGAGTCAAGTTTATGTACTCAGTGCTACCGGTATAGTGATCATCAGGTATCGGTATGGATACTGCTTTGAGTGTCTCCTCAGCAGCAAAAGTCACTGTCTCATTAAAATCTATAGAAAAAATTATAATAGATTTTTGTTAGCTTTCTTTCATACCTTTTGATGAAACTTGTATAACATTGATGGATGAATTTATCTTTTGCTTTTGAATGAATATCATTGCTTCGTTGTCACCTTCTGTAGCATAATAAACAGTCGAATTAAAAATGAAGATTGGTACACAATTTATTGGTTGCAATAGAATTCCAGCAATGTATCCATATCCACCACCAAGTGAAAATCCATAAGCACTGACATATATCCTGCCATTAGGATGACTGTGATTGATAGTAGAAGATCCATCAGCTGTAGTATTGTATCCATATCCAGTGATAACTCCATTAGTATCTCTGATTGGTGTCCAGTTTAATGTGGTAAGACTGCCATTAATGATTACAGTACCATTGTAATAAGAATCAGCAGGTACTGCTATACTATAGAAATTGTCTGGCATATCAGGTAGTGTAGTGAATGTAACAGAGTGAGGATACTGACTGATAGGTGGAACTGTCATTAATACT